TGTATTTACTGAGACAGGGTCTTGCTATGTTACTTAAGATGACCTTGAATTACAGCTCTCTCCTTAGATATGTATATGTGCATGTATACATGTATCCATGTATTTAATGAGACAGGGCCTTGCTATGTTATTTATGATGACCTTGAATTTGAGACTCTCCTGCTTCCAACTCCTGAGAGCTATGAGATTACAAGTATGCTCCATCGTGCCTGGTTCTACTTAGGATTTTAAAGGCTCACATTCAACAATAAATGTAATGAAACTCTAAACTGTATTCTGTAATTGAAATAAAAATAGCTTAAGAATACACCTGGGGCAGGGGGAAATGGCTCGGGAGTTAAGAGCACTGGCTGTTCTTGCAGAAGACTTGGGTTTGGTTCCCAGCACCCACATAGTGGTTAACAAGCACCTATAACTCCAGTTCCAGGGGATCCTACACCCTCTTCTGACCTCTGCAGGTGTTACAACATAGGATATTTACATACATGCAGGCAATACACTCATACACATAAAAATAATAAAATATTGCTGGGCGTGGTGGAGCACAGCTTTAATCCCAGCACTTGGGAGGTAGAGGCAGGCAGATCTTTGTGAGTTCGAGGCCAGCCAGGTCTACATAGTGAGTTCCAGGACAGCTGGGGCTACGAGGAGACCCTGTCTCAAAAAAGACTTAAAAAAAAAATTTTTTTTTAAAAAGAATAAACTTGCCAGGTGTGGTGGGTGCATGCCTTTAATTAAAAAAAATTTTTTTTTTTAAAAAGAATAAACTTGCCAGGTGTGGTGGGTGCATGCCTTTAATTCCAGCACTTAGGAGGCAAAGGCAGATAGATCTCTGTGAGTTCAAGGCCAGCCTGGTCTACATAGTTCCAGGCCAGCTGGGGCTACAGGGAGTCCCTGTCTCAAAAAGACAAAAAAAAAAAAAAAAAAAAAAAAAAGAATAAACTCTAGACTTTTCTGATATTTAAGATATTGAGAGCAAATCATTTCTCTATTTCTCTAGATACTTTTCCCTACAAGATAGTCTTTGAAAGTGGCAGATGCTAAAAAGAGCAAGGCTAGTGATACATCTTATTGAGTTTCTTTTTCCTCTTTCCATCCCACTCTACCTCTGTGAACCATCTGTGGTACATAAAATTATTATTCAGAAAATATTCTCTCCTTCCCCCAATACCCTCAAAGGAAGAATACACTTAATCCTCATATCCTCTGGTTCAGCTTGGATTCAACCAACTGCAGACTGAAAAAATTTGGCATATAGATTTTTTTCCCTTGTCTTCCCCTAAGCAATACGGTGTAACAATTATTTATATCTTATTTGCATTTATAGATATTATAGATGATTTAAGGTATACAGGATATTTTTATTTAGGGTTTTTTTTTGTTTAGTTCTGACAAGCAAATCCAGGCTTTACACATGAATTATATTCCCAGCCCCAAATATTACACCATTTTATATAAGGACTGGAGCAGTCTCATTATCTAGAGTGATTCTAGCACCAATCCCGAGGTTATCAAGGAGCCACTGAACTTCTCTTTGGCCTGATGGATGTAGTCTATTCCCTACCCTAAACCTTTAGACATGATCCTATGATGTGACTTGGTCAATGCACTCTTAGCTAATAGATACTAGCAGACATGTGAACTATGCTGGTAAGGTTGGCCTTGCTTTCTTATACTTCTGATGTTGCCTTGAAAAGAGCTTACGATGGGCAGGAAGTCCTCACCCTCCAGCCTGAGCCCCAGAACAAGATATTCACACCAAAATGGTCCTAGCTGATTCACACATCTATACCTTGAAGAGCCTTGAATGAGAGTAAGTACTCTATGTTGCTAGGTTTGGGGGAGATCTGCTGTGTAGCTACTGGAGCAACTTACTTTAAAACAGTGGTAATGCTGGTTCAGAAGATGCAATGAAAACGAGTTAAAACCAGCTCAGAATTTTTTCTCTCAAACCTTCAGGATAAATGTATTTAAAATGTAGAATGTTTTGGATTTTGTAAGAGTAATACAATGCAAATACTGTATGTTATATAGTGCATCTAAGGGGCTTAAAAATTACAAAAGTCAAACACAGTGAAACTAATGAACAATCCCAAAGAAAGCTGTATGTATACAGGGGTTAGGGATGTGGCTCTACAGTAAAAGCGCTTGCTGTGAAAGCCACTTCTGCCTGTAACCCTGTGTTGGGAGCTGTAGACAAAATCTCAGTTCACTGGCCAGGCAGGACAGCTGAAATAGAGAGCTTCAGGTTCAGTCAAAGATTCTGTCTTAAAAAAGTAAAATGAAGGGCAGATAAGATGGCTCAGAAGGTAAAAGCATTTGCTGTACAGGTCTGACAACCTGTATTGATCCCTAGAACACATACTGAATTTGAAGAGAATGATTCTACAAAGTTGTCCTCTGACTCCAAAGTGGGCCATTGCTCTTGAATATGTGTCCCTACACACAGTCACACAATTAAAAAGTTTAAAAAATTAAGTTTAATTTAAAAACAAGGGGCTGGCAAGATGCCCAATATGTAAAAAGTACTTGCTATACATGCCTGAAGACCTGTACTGTATTCCCAATACCCATGTAAAGGTGGAAAGAAAGAACTGACTCCAAAGTTGTCCTCTAGACTCCTCTGTCTCACTGCAGCCCCAGCTGTCCTGAAACTCACTATGGAGACCAGGCTGGCCTTGAACTCACAGAGCTCCGCCTGCCTCTGCCTCCCAAGTGTTGGGATTAAAGGCCTGCGCCACTATGCCCGGCAATAATCATTTTTTCTAATTAAAAAAAGACTGTATTCCCTGTGTTCTACATATTTCTACTGAAGAGAATTCACAATAATCATACTTCCATTGCAGAGTTACAAAAGTTATTGGAGGAAGAGTCTTTATAGTTGTGAGTTTAAGCCAGGTATGGTGGCAAGCATCTGAAGTCCAGCTACTTGGGAGGCAGAGGCAAGAGGATTTAGACCAGCCTTTGGTGAAAAAGAGACACTGGGTGAATGAGCATAGACTAGAGGACCTTGGTCCTTTCTGACCTGAACCTATTATCTATAGTCTATATATGTGTGTGTGTGTGTGTGTGTGTGTGTGTGTGTATACTATATATGTGCATACACACATATATAAACACATAATCTTTTGTGTGTGTGTGTATGGTGGTATAAGTGCACATACATGTGTGAGCGAATGTGTGTGTCCATGCACACAAATGTGGAAGCCAGAGGTTATTGGATGTTTTTCTCTGTTGTTTTGCCACCTGATTTTTTGTTTTGAGACAGGATCTCCCTGTAGCCCGAGCTGGCCTAGAACTTGCTATGTTGATTGGACAGGCCTCTCTCACAGAGATATGCTTGGCTTGCCACTTGATTTTATTTATTTATTTATTTATTTATTTATTTATTTGAGACAGGGTCTCCCTGTAGCCCTAGCTGGCCTGGAACTTGCTATATAGACCAGGCTCGCCTTAATCTCACAGAGATATACCTGCCTCAGCCTCTGCCTCCCAAGTACTGGGATTAAATGTGTGTGCCACCATGCCTGGCCCCGGTCTGATTTTTTAAAAGTACTTTTTTTGTGTGTAGGAGTGATACATGATGCATGTCTCAAAAAGACAAAAAGAAAAAATGATTACTTACATCTAATTTATAAACCTCTATTTTTCATTGCCTACATTCTGCTTTGGACCAATCTGAACAAGGAAGTAGACAAGGCATTATGCAAACAGGAAACATGAACAGTCTTCAATCAGCAAATGCTAGGGTTCTTCTACAGAATGAAACACTGTAATAGGTGCTGGGGATACTATAGAACCAGATACTGCTTCTGTTCACTTAGGAGCTTGCTATCTACACTGATTACACGTTAAATAAAACTGCGAGCTGTATTGGATTAAACAAATCATTCAATTTCACCTGTTTCTTGTTACCTTTGGAAATGTCTCAGAAAATTTAAAACTAGTATTTTTGGTTCACGCTTTCAGTATTTCTACACCAGCCTTACATTCCAAATCGCTGTCAGTGATTTTCTTCCTGAAGCTTCCCTGCCTCCTTCCTCAGATTTTGTGACACTGCACTATTGTGGTTCTCCTCTCATTCCCCCGCCCCGGGCTGCTCTATAAGTGTTCCTAAGTGTCCATCCCCTTCCCCGGCTTAAGCATATCCTCCCTGGCTCCCACATCAAATTGTCAATCTATTTAGGTGACCCATGTTTACAGCTCCAATTCTGACCACAGGACACTTTCACTTGACACTTCAAAAGTGGTTATTTCCAAACCACTTCCTAATGTCCTTATGTCTTTTAATGTAAAACCTCCCAATTCGTCACCTGTCCTGTTCAAGTTTTTTCTATGCTTCTGTGAAAAATCAATGCTGGAACTCTCCTTTTACTTCATCTGAATTACATAAAAGTCACCTCAATTCTTGTATGCACCCCAGCATTCACTACCAGACCGATGTGCTTTAAGTAAACCTCCGTCCACCACGGTGCCAAACATTTGGAAACGACGTTGAGGGTAGGAAAAGCAAGTGCTAAAGGCACCTCCAAGCGTCGGACACCGCATGGTGACAGTTCTGATAGGAAAAAGCACCAAGCGGCTCTCCGCCAGGCAATGGAGGCTGGGGAAGCTCTGGACAAGGACACAATCCGCATCTGGCGCGGAGTTTCACCAGTAGCTCAAGCAGACCCAGCCCCGGGCGCTTCCTCTTTCCCCCGCTCCACTAGCGTCCAGGCGATCAATCCCAACCCCAGCCCACAGCACCGGTCCGCCTGGGAAAGCCAGCAGTTCCGGACGGCGGCTCGAGGGGGGTCGCTCCACCTGACCGCGCCGGCCGGGCCTGAGAAACCGGCCGCCGCTCCCCGTTCCCACGCGAGCTTCCTTGGTCTGCGCCCGGCCGGCCCCGCCCCTCATCCTCGGGACCCGCGGCTACGTAGGCCCCGGGCCTCCCGCAGCCGTCGGGGTTCACACCTGTAAGCAGGGACTCCGGCCTCTCCCTCAGATCCCCAAGCACGCACCTTCCCTTTCCGTGCCGGGGCCGCCGACTGAAGCCCAGTTTCCGCCTCAGCTGGCACTGTTTTATTCCCGACCAGAACCAGCGGCCCACGGAGCCGACCGGTCCCAAGCCCCGCCTTAGCGGCCTCAACGCTGTAGTCACTTCCGGCCCTGGTGACGTTGGCAGCCAGCCAGAGGGAAGGGGCGGTGCTTCCGGCAGCGTGCACAAGTTACGGAGAACCGGGAGGATCTGAGCCTTTGAGCTGCCGCGGCCTCACGCACCCAGAGCCGTGCTGCCGTGGTTGTGCGCTTCACGAAGCCGCTCCAGGGCTGGAAATGAGCTTCGGGTTGTTTCTCCCAGTCAAGTGATGACATTTTCCCTGTGTTTTTGGTTAAAGACTGCGTCTCATGCGTCCCAGGTTGGCCTCAAACTTTACTACATAAGCGAAGCTGGCCTTGAACTGATGCTCCTTCTTCCACCCGTACCCAGCTGAATATTTTAAATCTAACATTTACCACATCTTTATAGTACTAATTCAAGCTGTAGCCTCCTGGATATATCACAAACAGTAGATATATTCTCAGTAAATCGAAGCATCTTGTGGTGTACAAAACATAAGAAACTGCTCTATGTTATTAGGTTCCAAGTTTGAGACCCACTATCTTCCCAAATGGCAAGCATCCAGAAAGTAGAAAATGTTATCTTATGAAGTTGGATTTAGGAGAGCAGAAAAATGGAGTTTAAAGTTAGAAATAAGAACCAGAGGGGCTGGAGAGATGGCTCAGCGGTTAAGAGCACTGACTGCTCTTGCAGAGTACCCGGCACCCACGGCTACGAACCGTCCTTAACTCCGGTTCCAAGGGGAATCCGAAGCCCTCTTCTGACCTCCCGCGGCGCTGCACGACACGGGTGCACTCACATACATGCAGGCAATACATGCACACACACAAAATGAAAATAAACTTTAAAAAAAAAAACAGAGCCAGACCTGCAACAGGCAAGGAATATCTATGTTCCTTTTATTCAGAACATAGCAAAGGGCCTCTACTGTCCATAGAAACAGGCATCAGCAAGCATAAGCAAAGCAATCTGGTCTTTTAAAAAATTATTTTTACAGTTAGCTGCCATGTGGGTGCTGGAATTCAAACCCAGGTCTTCTGCAAGAACAGTCAGCGTTCTTAACCGCTGAGCCATCTCTCCGACCCAGCAATCTGGTCTTTTATAGGAACTCTCCTGACCACAGCTGTAGGAATTTGCTTGGTGGGAGTCAGTGTCCTTGGGGTACTTGAGGGTCTCCTTCCTGAGGTTATTTTCTCAGGATGGGCAGGCAGGTTATCTTTTGGGGCAGGAGTTAGGTTGACTCTGCAAAAGTCTCTGTAGTGATTTTTAAGGTCAGGCTGCCAAAGCAGCCCATGGCACAGCAGTTGGTTAAGTCGCCTCTGTAACCAGTCTGTCAGCCAGGGAGGTGACCAGTTGAAGGCCTGATCAATGGACAAGCCGCCAATTTGGGCCATTAGGTTACCCTGGAATTTATGTAAGAAAGCTCCTGCAATTCACACTCTTATATGGGTTGCTCAATCACTTGATTTTTGCATATACTAGTTCTTTTATCTTTTTGAGGCAGGGTCTCTCTGAAGCCCCATGTGGCCTGCACTGCCTGCCTCTGCCTCCCAAGTGCTGACACATCCACTAGTTTTATCCAATTGTAAAAACAATTGTAAATCATGAAGTGATCACATTCAAATCCACTTATCCAAAAGGGAAAAACTGCTGGGTGTAGTGGCACACGCCTTTAATCCCAGCACTCGAGAGGCAGAGGCAGGTGATCATTTCGAGTTCAAGGCCAGCCTGGTCTACAGAGTGAGTTCACATCAGCTGGGACTACAGGGAGACCCTGTCTCAAAAAGACAAAAAAAACAGAACAAAAGGGAAAAACTTACCCAAAAGGTAAGTTCAAGGCCAGCCTGGTCTACATAGTGAGTTCACGTCAGCTGGGACTACAGGGAGACCCTGTCTCAAAAAGACAAAAAACCAAAGGGAAAAACTTACCCAAAAGGTAACCAGAAAACTGACAAACCCTTACTCAGCACATAGGAGGTCCTTGGTTCGGTCCCCAGCAAGGAAAAGGGGAGGGCGGGAGAGGGGGAAGGGGGGAGATGGGGGAGAGCTCATCTGTAATCCTCCTCAGGACAGCAAGTTTGAGGCCAGTCTGGGCTACACAGGAGCCAATCACCACCACCACACACACAAAAAAAGGTAGTAGTCAAATTCCCTTTTCTAAGTTAAAATAACATTTTCTCCCAGAATACCCCTTCAAATTCATCTACAATATTCCTGCCAAAAGCTCAACCCTGCTCAAAGACACCCACAGATTCCAATGTTTCTTATACATAAAACATAATTGAGGTAACTGTCCACTAATATAAAAGCTAAGAGATCACAGCTTTTAAATTCATCCCTCCTTAATTGTCACTTCTATGTAAAAAAATGAAGAAACACTGCAGACCACAAAGAACAGTTCAAAACACTTTTTCAACAAACCCATAGGCTAAATCCCATCTGTGAAATATTCATTGACTTAGATTGTAATCTCTTAGCAGAACGGTAAGTGTCGAAATCTATCTATACAATCAATCTCAACACATTTTTGTACAAAGATGTTTACAGAGTGCTGATAAGGCAAAAAATAATAAATGTCCTGAAATTTCAGTTCAGCCATCTCATCAAACTTTTACATGAAAATGATGTGCAAAAGAAATTTTTATTGTCAAATGAAAAAAGACATGATAGTTGTATTTATACATGATGTCAAAATATTCTTACAAAACAGCAAACAGCATTTAAAAAGCCAATGGTATCACTGAATAACTGCAGATACTTTCTTTTCCTGCTTTCTATATTCTTTTTAGAGATATGAATGGCCAGGATGCACTGAGCAGACAGCACTGAAGTATCAAGTGGACAAGAAAATATCAAACATCACAGTGCTCAGAGATAAGCTTTCATGATCCCATTTGGGCTGTTAGCAGTCATCTGTGGAAATGGTCAGGTACAAACTGAATGAAATTTGAGACATTTGGAACCCACACACAACTTTCTAGAATTGCTAATGGAAAGGACCCATGTTAAAATTTTTGTGTCGTTCTCAAGAAATGAGGCAAGAAAAAAATAAATTAGACAAGATGTGATGGGGGCATGCTCATAATCTCAGCCTGGGAGACTATGGCTCAGGAGTACTGACAGTTTAAGGCTGTCTCAGTGAAAGTAAAGAAATTCTTTACAAAAAGAAAATGAATTACCTGAGTAAGACTCAAGAAGCTGTAGTTAGAAAACGGCCAGTGGGCGAGAGGGCTTCTGGGTAAGTCTCGTGGAGGTTATCTATCTTTACTTTTAATAAGCAGCACTTTGAGTGTTTTTATGAACTGGAGACCAAAGACTTCAGAGAATATGCCAGTAAATTTTCTAACAAGTCTTCATTAAGCTCAGTGTGACTAACAAAATAAATGGTGACAAAAATCCAGTAGCAACTAGTGAAGAATGAAAGAGAATTTGAGTCCTGGAGCTCAAAAAACAGCTTACAAGAGGTGCCTGCCAGACTAGAGGGCAGATCAAGTAAATACTAAAAGGCAGGTTCATGAGAAAGCTTACATACCAATGACTTACACTGCCTTACATACCAATGATTCTAAGGCACCACACAAGTCATTAACACTTGCATTATAAAGTAATTTGGTTACTTAGTGCCATGTTTTCTATAGAAGCCAACTCACTGCACACATTGGTTCCAGACTTGCTTTTTTGTCATCCTGTATTTCTAGCCTAAGGTTTTCAATGTTTGTCAGGACTTACTATATCTAATTTACTAGTCAACCAAGACCTTGCACTTACTCATTTAGAAACTTACCTAGAAAGACACTGATAGAAAAAGAAATCTTAATAGCTACTGTTTTCCCAGTAACTTAAACAATTACTCCATTCTCTGTACTTAGGTATATCAGTCAACAAATGAAACTCCAGATTTGGACTCTACATTTCCCGTTAGTTTTTCCTTGTGTTATCCAAAAAAGGAAGCTGGGTATGGTCTGACATGTTTCTGTAACCTTGGCATTAAAAAGGCTGAGGCAGAAGGATCTCAAATTTAAGGCCAGGAACCAAGAGACCCAGACTTTAAAAGTCTCAAAAAAAAAAAAAAAAAAAAGGATCAAGGGAGGGACAGTGAGAGCAAAAACAAGACAGGTCCTCAATTCAATACAATACAAACTACACACCCAAAATGGACTGTGGAGTTGTTCACAATTCAACTCTCATTCTGTGCATGAAAATCTAAAGGTCATCAATTATTAAGATATGTAACATTTTAGACAGATTCATTTAATTCAAATGGCATAGCTCAAAATTTTTCTCATTTTTGTTTTTAAAAGATTATTTTTTTCTAGACCGGGCATGGTGGCTCACTCCTTTAATCCCAGCACTTCGGAGGCAGAGGCAGGTGGATCAAAGGCTGAGTTCAGAGCCAGCCTGGTCTACATAATGAGTTCTAGGCCAGCTGGAGCTACAGAGAGACCCTGTCTCAAAAAGACCAAAAAAGAAAAAATCTACTTTAAAAGAAAAGCAGGTTGCTTTTCTATAATCTCTTCGAACAAGTAGGTATCTAATACTCTTAAGTCCGTAGGTCAGTTGGCACACCTAGAATCTACAAATATCAATCACCACCCTATCACATCACTCAGGATTTTATTTATTTTGATCTTTTTGAGACTAGATCTCCCTATAGCCTGAGCTTACCTGGAACTCACTATGTAGACCAGGCTAGCACTGAACTCACAGATACACCTGCCTCTGCTGGGACTTAAGGCTTGCACTACCATGCCCAGCTCCACTCAGGGTTTTAACAAGATCTCCCAGGTAGTCAGGTGTACATTAAAATGTTAAGAAGCTATCTCCAATTGTTTACTTACCTTTTTTTCCCTTGTAAATAGATGAACATACTTAAAATTAACTTTGGGGTAAATAAAGGAAAAGCATGGTTCCTTAAGGCATTTGTATAGTTTTATAACTTGAATGAGCAATAAGAGCCAAACATGTATGATAGATAAAGACAACCCAGAGAGGCCAAGCAGTTTAACAGAAATGTATATTTTTCTTGACACTAGACTACACTACTTTATACATGTTTAATTCTATGCAGTTTTGTAAAACTGAAAACCTAAATGTTATTTTAGGAAGTTTAGTGGCAAAACCTGAAAGTACATTAAACTATTAATTTAATGATCTTGATTCTCACTTCTATGATCATTCCAGTTCTGCAAAATTAATATTAATATATGACTGTGTGTTCTTACAATAAACCTCACTGGAGGTGCTATGCAGTATAAGGTATATACTCCTAAAAGCCTCAGGTAAATGACATACCTAGTTTTCACAAGGATTCTTTGAGATACCATAGTTGAAAGAGAAGGGTCTGTCAAGGTAAAACTAAATCATCTTGTATAAACCTATTTAGTGATACCAGTTAAATTAAAACCTAGTATGATGTCTTAAAAACAACTGTGCTAAGACAGAGGTAAAATAAATTGCTTGAACAAGGTATTGGGCTGGCGATAAAATCAATTCAAGAAGACACTAATAAATACATTTATAATGGCAAGGGTCATCATTCTCAACTTTTCCTCAAGAAATTAAAGTATTTCAACACTATGTAGATATATCCATAGATCATAGCCCTACCCACAATAAGTTTTTTTTTTTCAGTCTTTTTTTGAGACAGGGTCTCCCTGTAGCTCCAGCTGTCCTGGAACTCACTATGCAGACCAGGCTGGACTTGAACTAAGAGATCTGCCTGCCTCTGCCTCCCAAGTGCTGGGATTATAGGTGTGTACCACCAAGCTCAGCCCACAATAAGGTATTTTAAATAGCCTATCTTCCATTCCATAAAACTCCATTTTAAAAATTAAGCCCATATTTTCAGGTTGAGTTTTCTAGTATGCACTACACAATTACAACATGATGCCATTTATTTACAATTCTAAAAGAAAGCATCTTCAAGATCCAATATATACATTTTTTAATAATTGAAATATTTACATAATGGAACCATGTAATGGTTCAACATTAAGAACAGTTGATGAATGTCCTCTCGAGATGTAAAAAAAAAAAAAAAAATCTAGTAACTCAAGCTCACAGTTACACTATTCTAACAAGCCAATCTTTATCTTTCTTTTAATAAATAAACATGGCAACAGCTGCACTCAATGTGCTATGGAACTGTTTAGAACTTGGTACTTTTCAAATAAGTTTTGCTCCCTGGTGATGTTCTGATTTACTAAGCAAAAGTCCAAAGTATTTTTCTAAACATTATCATTAGTACATTTAAGCTGTAATGAGCAGAAGAAAAATTTATGGCTAGGAACTGCCTTAAATGATATATCCTCTGAAGATGTAAACTTAAATTGCCATGGTGAATTACTATTGTGTTTTATCAAACTCTCCTTTATAAACTCATTTATTTATTTACTTGTTTATTTATTGGTGTTGGAGACTGAACCCATGGCCTCTTTCATGCTAAGCAGAACTCTCCCACTGAGGTACCTAAACTCTGGTCATTTGTTTTGGGTAAGGACACCTCATGCTTTTAAATAAAATCTGTTTTTTAAAGGAGCACACCAAATTAAACTAAAGATATGTTAAAGGAAAATATATTCAGTAAAACTGGCCAAAATTTTAAAATATGCTCCAGTTTCTGAGCAATCAAATTATGAGAGGGGAGAAACTATGATCTCTAATCCTGTAAAGAAGCTGAATCAGTCACTTAGTTACAGGGAACTGCCATTCTGTTAGCAGACTTTTTGCTCAATACAGAAGACCATGCTCTGGGAAACTCAGAATATTATTACACTGAATATCTGGGTTGGCACAATTATTCTTTCCTTTGTGAATCTATTGATCAATTAGGAAATGTTTAAGGGAGCCCAGCAAATCAAATTAAGAAAAACTTTTATACACACATTCACATAAACACATTAATACAGAGAGATACAGTAGGAATAGAATGCCTACAAGATTTTGCACTCTGATTTTAAATTCCACGCCTTCACAATGGCCATTTGATTGGGGAGCAAGATGACATGGCAATAGGTATGACAGGTATTCAAATTTTTCTGTTGGAGCCTATACAGTTCAGTTATAATATGAAGTGAAATTCTGCAAAAGAATTAGGGAGTCATTTTAGTATTTACAAGGAACAAATCAGCAGAACAAGATATATCAGATAGGCTGTGTACAGTAGCTTCAGCTTATAAAACATACCAGTAATTTGTACCTGGTGAGTATAAAGAGAACCAAGGATTTGGATGACTTTACAACCAAGTGAGTACACAGGGCATCAGCAAATTAAGACAAAAGAATTCACATTTTCTACATTAAAACAAAAAATTACAGATCTCACAAATGTCTTTGAAGACATAGAAAATCGAGGTCCTTTAAAGGGTGTGAAAGAAGAAATCTGAAATAGAACTCAATGTAAAAACAGTTTACTTCACAAGACCAATTTTCTTGGCTTCTGTTTCATATATCAATAATCTCCACATTTTGACTATAAAAACTTCAGCTTCTTCATCTAGTACCTAAAAGACAAAAGATAGTAAAGATAATTATCCACATCTCCCAACATATAACATATATAAATGTTCTTATTCACCAACAGGCACTTACATTCAATATCATGACCTAAAGAAAATCTGTCCAGTATTTATTTTTTTATTTTGTGTATATGGGTATATTGCCTGCACGTATGTAGTAAGTACACACCTGTGTCATGCCATGCCCACAGAGGTCAGAAGAGAACACTGGATTCTCCTGGAACTGGAATCACTGGTGGCTGTTAGCTGCCATGTTGGTGCTGGGAATGGAACCCGAGTCCTCTGCTAGAGCAGCCAGTGCTCTTAACCACTGAGCCATTTCTCCAGCCTATTTATTTTGTGTGCATGTACGTAATTGCACTATGAGCATGAAATACCTGCAGAGGCCAGACAAAGGCACTGGATATGTACAATAGTAAGCTGCCATGTGCATGCTGGGAACAGAACCCAGATTGTCTACAAGAGACAGTGCTCTAAACCACTGACCATCTCTTTAGCCCACAAGTTTTCAGCTTTTAAAAAGTTAATTAGAGGGGTCATAGACAGGGCTCAGTGTTTAAGAACACTGGCTGTTGCGTTCCCAGCATCCACATAGCAGTTAACAACCACCTGTAACTCTAGTTCCAGGGGATCTCATGCCCTTTTGTGACCTCCTCAGGCACTGCACGACACAGGTGCACTATACTCATACATATAAAATAAAAACATTAAAATATATTTTAAAGTTGGAAACTTAACTGTCTACAATAACTTTTCCCATTTACTTTATTCTAACTTATCTCCCACAACTTCATCGGCTCATCAGTCCTTTGTTCACTCAAACCATCAATTCTATTCAGGTATTTTCTTTTTTTCCTAACCTGGCCCTTATAGTTCATGAAATAATTCTCACCTTTGCATGGATTCTCTTTCCCTCCCTTTTCTCACAAAAAAACAAGGCTGGGCGTGGTGGCACACACCTTTGATCCCAGCACTAGGGAGGCAAAGGCAGGTGGATCTCTGTGAGTTCCAGGCCAGCCTGGTCTATAGAGTGAGTTCCAGGCCAGCTAGGGCTACAGGGAGACCATGTCTCAAAAACACCAAAAGAAGACAAAAAGATTTTGTAGTGCCAGACAGGAGAAACCTTCCCTTGAGCTGTTGGCCAGGGTAGTCCAAGAGACTCCCAAAATTACACAGTCTACTGCCATCGTCCTTGATTACCTCCCAAAAAAACAGATAAAATAACCATCAACTCTAATACAAACCCAAATGCAATCAAGAATCTACTTTTTCAGCACTACCTACTCAAAAGATTCAAGAGCTATACAATCTATATGCCTCTACTTAGAAAGTGTTCTCAAAATATACACATGAAATTCAGGATTTAAATATATATAAACAAATAATGAAAAGAGGAGATGTAAACAGGAATGGCTTCAAAAAACAAAATAAAAAAAACAACAAAAACTCAAGACCACTGGGCATGGTGGCACACGCCTTTAATCCCAGCACTTGGGAGGCAGAGGCAGGCAGATCTCTGCGAGTTCAAGGCCAGCCTCATCTACATAGTGAGTTCCAGGGCAGCTGGGGCTACAGGGAGACCCTGTCTCAAAAAGATCAAAAAACAAAAACTCAAGACCAACATTAAATGCTGGATATAGCCAGGCCTAATAGTAGTGCATGCCTGTAATCCTAGCACTCAATAGGCTGAGGCAGGAAAACTGCCTTAGCCTGGGCTACAGAGATGTTGTCTCAAAACACAAAATGAATGAATGTTTCACAGTATCCTTCCATGAATGCCTTTACTCTCATATTCAAATTTTAAATCAGGCCAGTAAAAACACTGAGAAGCTAATCGCAGCATGGTAGTACAATGTGAGGTCAAGGCCAGTCAGGGCTACACAGTGAGAGCCTGTCTCAAAGCACACACACTAGAAAATGAGTAAAATTTAAGCTTGTTTGCTCATACAGACATTATAATAACAATGTACATCTAACTTACCATGGCAACATCATCTAAAATGCTCTGAGGTGAACTATGGGCCATAACCTAAAAGAAACAAATAATTGTCATGTTATAAACAAATAAAACAAGAGCATAAAAATCTCAAATAGGGAACTTTGTGCCTGAGAGATTTCTACAAGCTTTTCGTTGTGGGAACCTAACCAATAAGTGCCATTAAAACATTACTTCAAGGTCTACATAGTGAATTCCAGGACAGCTGGAGCTACAGGGGGACCCTGTCTCAAAAAGACCAAAAAATAATTACTTCACCATTTTTTTTTCCTTTGCTATGCAACCCAGGGTCACCTCAAACTTGTGATCCTCTTGGTTCAGCCTCCCAAAACTACTAGGATTGCATGCATGTGCCATCAAACCTGGTACCCAAGTCTTAATACTGTAACTACAAGTGGAAAAGGATACCTAAGTTTGCCTGTCAAAATGTTAAAGAGCAATCCTGGTTGAAGAATGGTAGAGTTATTTTATTACAAGAATATGCCATTTCCTCTATAATAACTGTCTTATAAATAAGACTATGATTTGAGGAAACACTACAGACAATAACTTTGCTAGTTAATGACCTAAGCAAGGTGTGTTGGTGCATGCTTTCAATTCTAGCATTTAAGAAATGAATGGAGACTGAGTTCTAGGCTAGCCTGGACTACTCAAAACAGAAAAAGAAAACAAAAAATATAAGCTTTAAAGTGTTGTATATTTATTGTACAATCATGAACAAGACAGTCTTTTCCAAAACTTTCATTTATTCATGCATAAAGTAAGGTTAGAGGATTGTATGCTTCAAGGTTGTTGCATAGTTGCAAGAAAAAGTTCCATAAAGCACAATTACTGATTCCATCTGCCAAAAACTTTTATAATCAGTCAGTACCAGCTGAACACTATTATGATGGACTATTCCAAAGCTGGGTGACCGACAACTTGAGGAAACAAACTATTAGTTACCTTTGCAAAATTCAAATTCAGATACTCTTCTAAACAAGACAAAAAGGTGGCATGGCATTTGCAGTAGCAGAAAGAGAAATGTAATTGGCGATAGACAGCAATTCTGTCCTCCCTGGTTCCCTGAATCAATCTGTATCTGAAATGAGGCAGGTTAAATTTAAATAGGCCACTTAATTGAAACTGAACTATTAAGGACTCTGTAAGAAATCAATGCTGAGAATGGAGAAAGAAAAAACACTAACCTTAGAACAAACAAAATCAACTAAGGTAGCTTCTTCTTCTCCTATATATTCTATAATTTTCTTATTGATCCATGGCCTAATTCTTCGTTCCATCAATATCTGCAAAACAAAGCACAGTTGATGAACTAAAAACTTTTTCTGACATTCACTAAAACTAATCACCTCACAATGTTTAAGAGTAAAATGTATTTTAAGATACAAAGTAACCTAAGATAAAATTGTTTGCTTCAAGTGTATGTGCCATAAATTTCTTTCCCATGGCATTTCCTTTAAGTGTCAAGAGGTTAGTAAAATCAAGTAAGGTTGTATGCCACATTCAAAACCCACCCCAACTTGGTAACAATGTAATTGCTACTCACTGAATCCACAATAGACCAATCCAGAGGATAAGCAAAGAGCTCCGGTTTGGCTGTGGGAATTTTCTCAATGAGACTCTTAATGTGTTTCCGCTTTTCTTCAGTGTTTACAGTGCCTTTGGCAGCATTTTTATCATCTTCACCATAATCCAATGGAACCAGCTTCCTTTTTCGAGGCACATCATCACTGTCTTCATCCTCAAATTTGTTAAAGACACTATCTACAGGTAGTTTCTTTCTCTTCACAGAATTAGGTTGACCAGGACTATTGGAAGCACCTATAGTAAAAATATTATCTCAGTATGAAGACTTCATTTTCAAATGTTAAATATGACAACCCATCATCCCTCAAAAACAGTGCAAATATACCTCCACAATTCTCCAAGAAAGATCCCAACTGTAAAAAATATCTCTCTACTCACAAGTGCTAGAAAATTAAACTTTCACTTCTTCTCAGAACTCGAGGCAGCTGCAGATATAGGAGCACGAGTAGAACTATGAAAACAATCATGAGCTAGAAAGGCAGTGTTGAATACTTGGCTATCTACCTACCACGGAACTACATGTATCTATTTTCTTGTTCCTTAAAGCAAAATATATTGGGGCACGGGCAGAAGGGATGAAAGGAAGAGGAAAATATGAACATACCCAGTTTAAGACTTAGTCCTATTTTTGGCCTGTGCTCCTCAGGTTGCTGTTGATCTGGTGAGTTTTCATGAGGAATAATAATACCACAAGGAGACTCATCCCCAGGAGTGTTGGGTGTTGCATTGCCACTGGCAGAGGACACAGATGGGGCAGAGCTGATGGGCCTCAAAGTAGGTTTGAGACAAGGCTTTTGCTCTGGTTCTTCTTCTTCTTCAACAGGCTCTTCTCGTTTTTCTTCTTTTTCTTGCTTTTCTTCTTCTTCCTCCTCGGATTCTGGCTCTTGCTTTATTTGTGGTTGTCTGCGCCTCTCAGCCTCTTGTTCCATCTACAGTCAAAAAACTTATGATTAATTCAGAAAACAACTAGTTAACTTCCTTTTGTTTTACAGTATCTTCTATAAAATAGTTTATAAAAAGATGGTGGGGCTGGAGAAATGGATCAGCAATTGGTTACAAACATTGCCTGTTCCTGTAGAGTATCTGGGGGTTCAGGTCTACATGGCAACTAACAACAGTCAGTAACTCCAGTTCCAAGGAATCCGACACCCTCTTCTTGTTTCCATGGACATTGAATGACACAGGTGCACTTATATACATGCATGCAAAACATTCAAACACATTAAAAATAAGATGATGCAGACTGACTGCACAGCTTCATGAACTCTACCACTAGGCTACATTTGCAACTGCAATCTTTCATTTTCCTGGCCTGGAACTTGCTTTGTATACCAGGCTGGTCTCAAACTCATAGACATTCACCTGCCTCTGTCTCCAGTGCTGGGATTAAAGGCATGTGCCATCATGCCTGGCTCAATTTTTTTTTCCCTAAGAACAGAACACAGCCTGGGTGTGGTGGCACATACCTATAGTCCCAGCACTTAAGAGGCAGAGGCAGGCGGATCTCTGTGAGTTCCAGGCTACCTGGGACTACAGGGAGACCATGTCTCAAAAGACCAAAAAAAAAAAAAAAAAAAAAAAAAAAAAAAGAACAGAACACTAGAGCCTGGAAAAATGGCTGAATAGTTAGGCCTGTTTCTGCCCTTCCACAGGATTCATGTCAGACAGCTCACAACTGCCTGTAATTCTAGCTCCAGAGGATCCAGGGAATCTGACAACCTCTTCTGATGTCCTTGGACATCCATACAAACACCTGCACACAACACTCAGACACACACATAAATAATACTAATTTAAATGATAAAAGAAAGAATTTAACACTAATCAGATGGCTAAGAGAAAGTAAAGAGGTATTAGGTACCATACAATATTTTCTACAAAATATTCTATATACATCCTTCTTTAGTGACTGGCATAAGAGTCAC